AGTAAAAATTTCCAACTAGCCAAGTCATAGGTCTGGATGGCCCAATATGCCCTTCTGAATGTGTTCGTATTTTCTCTAAGACAGCAGGCTTCAATTTCCTCATCTGTAAAATGGAGATAATAATACATATGTCATGAAGTTTTATGAGCATTACATATGACAGTGCAGAAAATAGAGTACAGCTTGGAAAATAACATACAAAGCAAGCTGTTTAATGACATAGTATAGGCAGATGTTTGTAAAAATGAATGAATGATTCCTTAGTTCACTATAAAAAGTGAAAAGCAAACATGACAAAACTGAATCATCTTTTCAAGTTTAAGGAAGTTTCAGGACTTTCTTTGTATGCTATGCTCACTGTCATAGTGGATAGCCAACACCAAAGAGCAGCTTGTGCCAATATACATTTATCTGTGAAGACTATACCTATCATTGTATTCTTTTATTTTATAGTATTAATATGAAAATACTAATAGATAATGAGTACAGTGGCTCATACCTGTAATCCCAGCACTTTGAGAGGTCAAGGTGGGAAGATCACCTGAGGTCAGGAGTTCAAGACCAGCCTGGCCAACATGGTGAAACCCCATCTCCACTAAAAATTAGCTGGGTGTGGTGGCATGTGCCTGTAGTCCCAGCTACTCAGAAGGCTGAGGCATGAGAATAACTTGAACCTAGGAGGCGGAGGTTGCAGTAAGCTGACATCGCACCACTGCACTCCAGCCTGGGCAACAGAGAGAGATTCATCTCAAAGAAAGAAAGAAAATATACTATGTATACAGTGGCATTCATGATACCAAAATCAGATAAAGCATTACAAGAAAAGAAACCAACAGGCCGGTATTCCTAATGAGTGGAAATTTTAAAATTCTAAACAAGCTTTTAACAAATCAAAATGCAGTACATGAAAGTAATACATTATGATGAAGTGGGATTTAGCCAAAGAATACAAGGTTCATTTAACATTCAAAGCTCAAGGACTGTCATTCACTCTATTAACCAATTAAAAAAGAAAAACTGTATGATTATCTCAACGGATGCATAAATAAAATTTGACAAAAACCTACATCTACCCCTAATAAAATTTTTAGCAAACTCAGAGTAGAAGGGAATTTCTTCAACCTGAGAAGGGGTATCTATGAAAACCCTGCAGCAAACATCATGTTTAACGTTAAAAGACTGAATGGTTTCTTCCTAAAATCAACAAACTGGCAAGGATTCCCAACCTCATCACTCCAGCTAAAGATCAATTGTGTCTAAGAATGCACAATACAGAAATTCAGTATAATTATAAAATGGTCTCCAAAATTCCTGTCCCACTGTGGTACAGTATTTGTATAATTGCCTCTCCTTGAATGTGGACTTGACCACCAATATGATCGATGTCACTCCTGGGGATAATGTTACATTTATGGCAAAAGGAAATGTGAAGATGTAATTCAGATCCCAAATCAGGGCAGGTGAGGTGGCTCATGCCTGCATATCCCAGCACTTTGGGAAGTTGAGTGGGGAGGATCACTTGAACCCAGGAGTTTGGGAGCTGCCAGGGCAACACAGCAAGACTGACCCTATCTCCAAAAAAAAAATAAGAAATAAAAATTTGCCAAGCATGGTGATACATGCCTATAGTCCTAGCTACTTGGGAGACTGAAGCAAGAAGATTGCTTGAGCCCAGGAGTTTGAGGTTGCAATGAGCCAAGATCATGCCACAACACTCCATCCTGGACAACAGAATGAGACTCTGCAAAAAAAAAAAAAAAAAAAAAAAATCCCAAATCAGTTTTGAATAATATGGGTATGGACATCATCTGGGAGGGTCTGACTTAATCAGGCAGAAACCGTTAAAAAGCTTGAGTAAAACTGTTTCCTGCTGACCTCAAAGAAGATGAAAGTCACATGAGTTCTACAACTGCCAGTCACCTGAATAAGCCTAGATGCGCACCCTAAGCCACAGATGGCAACGCAGTGTTGGCTTATCCACTGATTGCAGCCATGTGAGCCCTAAGCAATGGATCCATCCAACCGATGCCCAGACTCCTGACCCATGGAAACTGTAAGATAATAACTGAGTGCTTTTTCAAGCTAGTAAGTTGTGGTACTTGCTGACTCAGCAATGGAAAGCTAATATATACACCATTCAAAATACCAGCAAAACTATGAAATAATTGGAGAGAAATCTGACAAAAGATATGAAAGACCTGTACACCGAAAGCTTGAAAACACTGCTGAGAGAAGGAGAGATATATTACCTGTATGAGTTGGAAGACTTAATTTTAGTGAGAAGCCAATTCTCTCCAAATTGATCTATAATTTCAACTCAATTCCAATCAAAATTTCAGAAGGGTTTTTTTTTTTTTTTTTTTTGCAGATATTAACAAACTGCTTCTAACATTTACATGAAAATGCAAACGATCTAGACAAAATAATTTTGAAAAAGAAGAATAAAGTTGGAGCACTAGTACCTTAAGTATCCATGGGGGGAAGGAGGGTTCCACCCAGGAGGGAAGATGGTCTAGCCTTTAACTCTATGTCCTACTGGGAAGGGAGCCAGGTGGGGCTGAGGGCTCTTCCATTTTGGCATTTCCATTTCTGGGGAGGGGGTTCAAAGTCACCAACACCCTGGGAGCTGGAGTTCAGAAACGGAAGTAGGAGGCCACTGTTACCACTCTGCTTAGAAACTTTATGGGTTGCCTCTCATGCTATCTGTAGCTTCAGAGCACACCCTGGATCCTGTCTCTTCCCTCAACCAGCTGTGGGCTACCCCTCCTCACCCCCAGGGCTGGAAGGTTAGAGGCAGAACACTATCATTTACACAGATAGATTTAAAAAAGAACAGCTTAAAAAATTACAGCTAATCAAGATAATGTATTGACATAAAAACTGTCCAACAATACAATTAAATGGAATGGAGGGTACAGAAACAGATCTCCACATAGCTGAATAACTAATTCTCAACAAAGGTACAAAGGAAATTAGTGAAGGCGTATTCTTTTCAGCAAATGGCGCTGAAACAACTGGATTATCCAGATGCAAGAAAAGTGAATTTTGATCTAGACCTTATACCATATTAAAAAGTAACTTTAAAATGTACCACAGTTATAAATGTAAAACCTAAAACTATAAAGCCAAAAGAAAACATGACAGAAAACATTTACGACCTTGGGTTTGGCAAGGAATATTCAGTTATGACACCAAAAGTATAATCCATAAAAATGTAAATAAAGAGGCTTTGTCAATATTAAAAACATCTCCTCTTCAAAAGATCCCATTAAGAGAACTTAAAGACAAGCCACAGGCTAGAAGAAACCACTTTCAAATCCCATATACGACAATGGACTTCTATCAGAATTCATAAAGAACTCTGAAAATTCAACAACAACAAAACAACTCAATTTTTTTTTTTTTAAAAAAAGCAAACAAAAGATTTGAACACACAGATACACAGAAGAGGAATATATAAATATCACAAATAAGCACGTGAAAGCATGATCAACATCATGAGTCATTAATGAAATGTACATTAAAACCATAATGAGATACCACTACCTACCTGTTAGAACTGCTAAAGTTAAAAATGCTGACTATACCAATTGTTGTCCAGCTTACGGAAGAATTAGAACTCTAATATACTGGGTGGAAATGTAAAATGATACAATCACTTCGGAAAATTGTTTGACAGTTAAATGTACATGTATTGTCTTGGTCCATTTGGGCTGCTGTAACAAAATACCATAAACTAGGTAGCTTATAAACAGCAGAAACTTATTTCTCTTAGTTCAGGAGGCTGGGAAGTCCACAATAAAGGCGACAGATTTGATGTCTGGTGAAGACCTGTTTTGCAGTCCCTAGATGGCAACTTCTTATGGTGCACTCACATGGTAGAAGGGGCAAGGCAGCACTCCATGACCTAATCACTCCCCAACAGCCCCGCTTACTAAGACTAACACATTGATGATTAGGTTTCGACACACAGATTTGGGGAAAACACAGACACTCAGACCACAGCACCTACTAATTTATCCAGCCGTTTTACTGCTAGGTGTTTACCAAGAAAAAATGAAAACACGTGTCCATGCAAAGACTTGTACAATATTTTCATAGTAGCTCTATTTATAATATCAAAAAATTGGAAACAACTCAGATATTTATCCACAGTTAAATACATAAACAAACTATAGTATATAAATAAAAATAATAAAAAGAATTAACTATTGATACATACTATAATTTAGCTGAATCTCAAAATAATTATGCTGAGTGAGAGAAACCAAATAAAAAAACATATACTGTATTACATACAATTCTAAGAAATAAAAACTAATTTATTTGGCATCCAGATCTTCATTTCTATACGAGCTTCCGATAAGAAGTCTCAAACTTCCTTGGGTAAATGGCTGATTCTACAACTGGGGCTGGAAATATACAAGATGAGCCTGTAGCATCTTGTAATACCACAGAGTAAGAAGGTCCACACATACACACAATACAGAGAGCGGGTCAAGAAGCACCGGAGTCAACTGAAAAAGCTCCCAATGCCAAACCTGGAAAATGTGAGCAACAAAGTATTCATGAATCCATACAGATATAAAGAAAAGACTGAATAAAGAAGTAAATGGGGGCGAAGAGGCAAATTGTCCACACGGAATTCCAAATAAATTATGTAGATACTCCACTCCAAAGGAGGGCTAGCATAACACCCTACTCCCCTACACTTCCTTAAGTGACTCATAATGATTTCCTTCCAAAGAGTAAAGAGGATGCAAAGAGGGAAAAAAGAGTAACTATGCAATGGAGAAAGCTGACAAACACTACTTCAGCCAGGTGATAGAGAACAACATTAACAGTCATAAGTCATGTTGACAATATGTACCCTTCATATGATGTAATAAATACAGCACATTACCTCTTTGATTTCCACCCCCTACCAAAACCCATAACCCTAGTCTACTCATGAAGATACATCAAATTCCAATAGAGGGGCATCTTGCAATATACCTCACCAGTATTCCCAAGGACTGTCAAGGTCATCAAATACAAGGAAAATCTCAGAAACTCTCACAGCCAAGAGGAGCCCAAGACATCATAACAATTAAATGTGGTGTCCTGGATGGAATCCTGGAAAGGAAAAAGGACATTAAATGAAAATGAAGAAATTCTAAATAAACTGTGAATATTAGTTAATAACAATGTATCAGTATTAGTTCATTAATTGTAACAAATGTACCCTATTAATTTAAAATGCTAACAGAGAAAATTGTACAAATGATATATGAGCATTCTCTATATTATCTGCTCAATTTTTCTGTAAATCCAAAATTGTTCCCCAAAGTAAAATCTATTAATAAAACGTTTAAAGGAAACAGACCTAAAAGGCATATGCATATGTATAATTTAATGTTTAATAAATTGACATAAATGTTTTTTAAAACCTAATATATGGTGACAGAAAGCAGATTAGTGGCTTGCCAGAAAGCGGTGATTAGTACTAGGAGAAGGGGATGGGATAGAATAGTATGAAGGGATTTAAAAAGTGGCATGAGGAAACTTTTGGAGGCAAAGGGTATGTTTATCATTTTAACTTCACAGGTATAACAACAAATTATACAATTTAAATATATGCAGTTTATTATATGACAACTATATCTTGATAACATGGTTTTTTCCCCAAACTATAGAAAACATAACTTCCACATTTAAATCCTCTTCTCCAAAAACAGTCTTCAGGAATATTTGAAGTTAGCCCCATCACACCTGAATTTAATCAGTGAATTTTGTTTCATTCAACGATTCATACATTTGGGGAGTTCCTGTGCCAAAAATGCTAATCACTCAGCATCAAAATTTATGGAATAATGGTGATTTAGGACATGTTGGACATCTTTATTATTGTCTTCCCACGTCAAGATTTTCAATCTTTTGGAAACAACCTCCCCAGACATTCTGACAAGGGAATTATTATAACCAACCAAAATCAAGCCAAATATAGTTTGTCAGATTTAAAATGAAGCCAAGTGCCAATTTTACAGCAGTGACCGGGAAACCAAATTACATGGCATCTGACATTTAAAATCACACTCCTAAGAAGTCATTTGATGTCTGGGGTTTGGGTTACAGTACTTAACTTTGTAATACCGGGTAACCTTGTGCCTCAGTTTCCCCAGCTATGATATTGGGATAACAGTACCTATTTTGTGAGACTGCTGAAGGATTACAGTTAACACAGGTAAAGGGCTTAGAAGACTACCTGGCAATGCTGTCCTGATTTTACAAATTCTATACATTGTGTGGCATTAGCCATCAGGAAAATATAAATAAATCAGTGAGATACCATCTCCCGCACTTGGAGGGCTATAACAAAAAAGACAGATAAAAAGTGTTGTCAAAGATGTGAAGAAACTAGGACCCTTATACACTGCTGGTGGAAATGTAAGATGTACAATCATTTGAACCATAGTCTGGCAGTTCCTCCAAAGACTAAACCTAGAGTTACCATATGACCCAGGAATTGCACACCTACGTATATACCTGGAGAAAGGAAAATACATGCTGCATAAAAACTTGCACATGAATATTCATTAGCAGGATTTTTCATGGTAGCCAAAAGGTGTAAACAACCCAAATGTCCAACAACTGATGGAGATGGATAAATAAAATGTGGTTTATCCATACAATGAAATATTATTTGTCAATAAAAAGAGTGAAGAAGTACTGATTCATGTGGAACATGGATGAACTTTCATCCAAAATAGCCAAATCACAAGTACAAAAAGCATATTAGTGGCAGCTGGGAGATTTAGGCAGAAATGTGGAGTAACTGCTAGTGCATATTGAGATTTTAGAGTTATACTAATGTTACAAAATTAATAGTGGGTGATGGTTGCACAACTCTGAGTACATGAAAAATCAATGATTGATACTTTGAGTGAGTCATATGATATTGGAATTACACCTCAATAAAGCACGGTAACTGTTTTTAAGATAGGCTGGAAAGAGAAAGCTTGAACACAACAATAATGACATTAATAAATTAGTTTACTTCTCTAGTCTCATATACTTCTGTGCCCACACTTGCTCCTGCTTTATTCAAAATGGTCCCGTTGCAGATGCCCTGTGAACATACTATACCTGCTTCCTGGAATTCTCTTTACCTTTCCTCTATCTGCCTAACTCCCACATATATAAAATTAATCAGAGTAAACCACTTGCTAGAACAATCAACTCCAAATCCTAGTGATCTAACATGATAAAGGTTTGTTTTTCACTCATGTAGCCCCTCCCCAGATGATCGAGGGGTCCAGGCTTCTCACCTCTAGTGGCTCCCCCACCTCCTGGAGTCTTCTGTATTTTCTATACATGGTTGAGATAAACTATGAGTCATTAGCATAGCTAGACCTTGAGGCCCTATAAGAAAATTCGCAAATCATTCACTCTGTTTTGAACAAGGTATATTTAAGATGATGTTAAAATACCCAATGGTCTTGGGTCAAATATAGTTTATGACTGTTTATCTAAAATATATATTGCAATACTCTTCCCTTTCTCTGCTGACTTCATGAATTTACAGGGGATTCATTTTTATGAGTTCAAAGATAATTACTTTTCAGACTAAGAATATTTAGGGAAAAAAGTACCGTTCAACATCTCTACTGAGGATCGTATGATGTAGCACAGGGTATAAGCTGGAGCTAAAGGAAACTTTCCTTAAAGTGCTATTTACTAAAAATTGGAACACATTCTTTAGGACAAATCAAAGTATGGCACACAACATCCAAACTGCCATCATAGGTACACAGGTGTGACCATCTCCCACTCCCAAATTTCTTTGTCACGCTGAGGATTACTCAAGAGGAGCAAGACATGTTGGTTGCAGCAGGAGAAACTTGAAAGCATTCACTTTTATGGAACGCATAAGGGAGAAAATCTCTTAAAGTATTTAGAATCATCTTTGATACATTTATTATTTTAAAAGATAATGTAGTCAAATGTCTTCCTGTGTTAAATCTTTACAAAACTGAAATCTTAAAATGGTGACAAAAATTCTACTTCTGATAGAATCTATTCGTTTTTCCAATTAGATAGGGCATAATTCTTAATTTGCAAAACTAAATGGAATATGCTTATGAGGTTCCATCCCAAAGAACCTGCTATTGAGAGTAGCATTCAGAATAATGGGTAGAAATGCCAATTCCAGAGTTTCAGATCCTACCCCTAATTGGGGTAGGGAGGGGCTTTGGGCGGGGCCTCCCTAGAGGAGGAGGCGTTGTTAGAAAGCTGTCTGGCCAGTCCACAGCTGTCACTAATCGGGGTAAGCCTTGTTGTATTTGCGCGTGTGGGTGGCATTCTCAATGCGAACTAGCTTCACTTGTCATTTGAGTGAAATCTACAACCCGAGGCGGCTAGTGCTCCCGCACTGCTGGGAACTGAGATCTTCGGGGATGACTGTCGCCCGAGGTAGGGAGCCAGCAGAGGCACGACCCTTCCTGGGAATGGGCTGTACCGAGAGGTCCGACTAGCCCCAGGGTTTTAGTGAGAGGGGCAGTGGAACTCAGCGAGGGATTGAGAGCTTCACAGCATGCATGAGTTTGATGCCAGAGAAAAAGTCGGGAGATAAAGGAGTCGCGTGTCACTGAATTGCCGTCGCAGCCACAGTCACTCAAGTGCCAGACCTGTGAGTACTCTGCGTCTCCAGTCCTCGGATAGAAGTCGGAGAACTCTCTTGGAGAACTCTCCGAGTTAGGAGACGAGATCCCTACAATAACTACTTTTTCTTGCGCTCCCCACTTGCCGCTCTCTGGGACAAACGACAGCCACCGTTCCCCTGACAACAGGATGGAGGCCAAGGGCAGGAGCTGACCAGCGCCGCCCTCCCGCGCCCCCCCCCGCCCCCGACTCGGGAGGTGGAGATCCCTCCGGTCCAGCCACATTCAACACCCACTTTCTCCTCCCTCTGCCCCTATATTCCCGAAACCCCCTCCTCCTTCCCTTTTCCCTCCTCCCTGGAGACGGGGGAGGAGAAAAGGAGAGTCCAGGTCGTCATGACTGAGCTGAAGGCAAAGGGTCCCCGGGCTCCCCACGTGGCGAGCGGCCCGCCCTCCCCCGAGGTCGGATCTCCACTGCTGTGTCGCCCAGCCGCAGGCCCGTTCCAAGGGAGCCAGACCTCGGACACCTTGCCTGAAGTTTCGGCCATACCTATCTCCCTGGACGGGCTACTCTTCCCTCGGCCCTGCCAGGGACAGGACCCCCTAGACGAAAAGACGCAGGACCAGCAGTCGCTGTTGGACGTGGAGGGCGCATATTCCAGAGCTGAAGCTACAAGGGGTACTGGAGGCAGCAGTTCTAGACCCCCAGAGAAGGACAGCGGACTGCTGGACAGTGTCTTGGACACTCTGTTGGCGCCCTCAGGTCCCGGGCAGAGCCAACCCAGCCCTCCCGCCTGCGAGGTCACCAGCTCTTGGTGCCTGTTTGGCCCCGAACTTCCTGAAGATCCACCGGCTGCCCCTGCCACCCAGAGGGTGTTGTCTCCGCTCATGAGCCGGTCCGGGGGCAAGGCTGGAGACAGCTCCGGGACGGCAGCTGCCCATAAGGTGCTGCCCCGGGGCCTGTCACCATCCCGGCAGCTGCTGCTCCCGGCCTCTGGGAGCCCTCATTGGTCCGGGGCCCCAGTGAAGCCGTCTCCGCAGCCCACTGCGGTGGAGGTTGAGGAGGAGGATGGCTCCGAGTCCGAGGACTCTGCGGGTCCGCTTCTGAAGGGCAAACCTCGGGCTCTGGGTGGCGCGGCGGCTGGAGGAGGAGCCGCGGCTGTCCCGCCGGGGGCGGCCGCAGGAGGCGTCGCTCTGGTTCCCAAGGAAGATTCCCGCTTCTCAGCGCCCAGGGTCGCCCTGGTGGAGCAGGACGCGCCCATGGCGCCCGGGCGCTCCCCGCTGGCCACCACGACGATGGATTTCACTCACGTGCCCATCCTGCCTCTCAATCACGCCTTATTGGCAGCCCGCACTCGGCAGCTGCTGGAAGAGGAGAGCTACGACGGTGGCGCCGGGGCCGCTAGCGCCTTTGCCCCGCCGCGGAGTTCACCCTCTGCCTCATCCACTCCGGTCGCTGTCGGCGACTTCCCCGACTGCGCGTACCCGCCCGACGCCGATCCCAAGGACGACGCGTACCCTCTCTATGGCGACTTCCAGCCGCCCGCTCTAAAGATCAAGGAGGAGGAGGAAGGCGCGGAGGTCTCCGCGCGCTCCCCGCGTTCCTACCTGGTGGCCGGTGCCAACCCCGCCGCCTTTCCGGATTTCCCGCTGGGGCCACCGCCCCCGCTGCCGCCGCGAGGGCCCCCACCCAGACCCGGGGAAGCGGCAGTGACGGCCGCACCAGCCGGTGCCTCAGTGTCGTCCGCGTCCTCCTCGGGGTCGACCCTGGAGTGCATCCTGTACAAAGCGGAGGGCGCGCCGCCCCAGCAGGGCCCGTTCGCGCCGCCTCCCTGCAAGGCGCCGGGCGCGGGCGGCTGCCTGCTCCCGCGGGATGGCCTGCCCTCCACCTCCGCCTCTGCCGCCGCCGCCGGGGCGGCCCCCGCGCTCTACCCTGCACTCGGCCTCAACGGGCTCCCGCAGCTCGGCTACCAGGCCGCCGTGCTCAAGGAGGGCCTGCAGCAGGTCTACCCGCCCTATCTCAACTACCTGAGGTGAGGGCCCGGGGCGGGGCGCGCCCAGCGCGTCCGGGAGTAGCGGTTCCGCTGGCGGCAGCCGCCAACCCTCAGCCCCAGCCCCGGCGCACCGCTGCGCTCCCCAGGGCGGCCGGAGGGGGTGGGCAGCGGGACACAGCACAGGGGCAGTTGCCTCCCTTCTTCTTCCCTCCTCTCCTCACTCTTGGGGACACGAAGGTGGGCGCAGAATATACTATTTTGGGGCCGTGCCTGCCTGAAAGCTGTTTTTTTGTTTTTTGTTTTTTTTAAACTTTCCGAATCTTCCAGATTCCGAAGCAGAACCAACCCTGATTTAAAACGTGCAGCGTCACACTAGGTCCGCTGTAGCCCAGCGGGGCAGAAAGTGCGTGGCGAGTTGGGGGCTTTATGAAATGCTTCTTGCTTAGAAGAAGGACGTTTACCAGGAGTGCCTGTCTTGGAGAGGAGTTAAGGCACCGTTGCCCCGGGAGGGGTGGGACTTGAGAGGTGGCCGGCCAGAACCGAAAGCTGCACCATCTTAGGGATTTGAACACTTTAATGGCTTTTCTTAAGAATCTCAAGATTCAAGTTAAGTTCACGTGGGAGATGTTTAAACTGTGGATTTAAACACCTATCACTGCATTGCACCGTTTTCTAATTATTGCTTGCGATTCACTACAACTTTTTTTTTTCATGCAGGTTTAAAAAACACTAATTTGCATACTGAAGTAATGGAATGTAAAAAAAAAAGAATGCTCTGTTTGGAATCTTATGTTGTGAATAGGCAAAACAGTGTCAGTGTATTGGACAATACTTTAAAATGACAAACATATACTTGTTTAAGTAAGCAATGATTACAGGGTTGTGTTTTAGAAACTCAAAACCAAAACATTGCAAAGTGCCATCGAACTTTTAAAGCCAAATCATATTTGTTTTGACCCAGCATACACACAGGAAGGACATAACATTTCATTTGTCAAAGACTAAATCGTTTCTATATAAAGAGTTTTGTAGAAAGATTTCTTTTTAACTGACTTTAGCTTTCCAGAACATAATATTATACAGTAATAATTGTTCTTTTATATTGGTGCTACTGATGAATGGCTGATCATTTGCAAGTGTATTGAATCCAGTTACAGGTAGTCTATTACCAAGTTTAGTTTGAATGTCTTTCAAGTGTTTATATACAGTTCTGTTTTTAAAATCTCCTTTCACCATGTCAATTCTGGTTTAAGAAACCTTTAGTATTAGATAGTGGTGCACTTAAAAATAAATGGAGTACTTTGTTTTGCATTTCAAGGCCGGATTCAGAAGCCAGCCAGAGCCCACAATACAGCTTCGAGTCATTACCTCAGAAGATTTGTTTAATCTGTGGGGATGAAGCATCAGGCTGTCATTATGGTGTCCTTACCTGTGGGAGCTGTAAGGTCTTCTTTAAAAGGGCAATGGAAGGTAGGCTCCTTTCCCCTGATCCTTTATTATTGCTTTAATTGTAAATGGAGATCATCTATTATTGTATAGATTTCAGTTATTCCTTGTTTCTTCTAAGAAATGGTGATATTTCCATATAATTTAAAATATATGATGACATTTAAACAATATGTTTTTATTTATGATACTCAAGATTGAATGTGGTTGGTTATTATAATAGCATACTCTGTGACTACACTTTCAGTATTAGACATAAGTCTTAAAAATCTTGAGGAAAGTGCTTCTATTGTTCCTTAACTGCTTAGCTTTCAGGAAACAGCTTCGTTCTAATAGTACTTTTATATATCTATTATGTAGCTATATATGTACGCAGTACTTTAAAATTTTGATTAAAAGAAAAATGGTAGTTGACACATATGTACCTGTATGTGTATACATATTTGCCTATACATACATGAACATATATCACAACATATATATGATGCAGTTAGTTTTCTACATGATACTGTCTTTTGACTACATGAATAGTTATGTAATATTTACAAAATACTAATGCTAAACAAATTTTTAAATTCTCTTTTTGTTCAGAATATTTTTGTAAGTGTATAAGGACAGCATTAAACAGTTTAAAACAAAAAATCTGGCCATCACAGTAACATAATCTCTAAAGAAGTATTTTGCTTTAAGTAAAACTTTCATGTTTTTAAACTCATTGAACTTACATGCTTAATGATTTCAGCTTTACTTGCATAGTGTGTTTCAGACTTTTTCAAAGTAAATATTTTTTAATTTATTTCTACCTGAACTCTAAGCAGCCAAACATCTTTACAGTTGAAGATAAAAATACATTGAAAGAGTTCACATTTTAATACTAGCAATAAATGTGTTGTATAAGTATGTAAAATGAAGCTTAGGGTTCCCTCTGGAGTGCTGAGATCACACCTAGACAAGGAACCAAAGATCTGAATGTTGGCTTTTTGTCTCCTGTTCTGAGGTTGTTTATTTGTTTGTTTGTTTGAAAATCGCTCTGCTTACAAGCAGAAAAGCAGGGAATGGGAAATTTCACTTTAAGGGAGCTTTCAAAGGAGTTCTTCATAACAAATGTTTGTTTTGTATATTTTTAGAACATGATTTTTGTTTGTTTGTTTACAAAAGATGAATGTATTTTACTGATGTTGAACATATTCAGCTTCAGGGGGTTTGATTGCCTTTTAAACTAATTGAGGCAGTGTTAAAAGTGGTACTTGAGAAAATAGGGCAACTGAGAGTGGCTCTTACCCATTGATATAATTTATTTATAGTTACAGATGGAAGTTCTTTGTGTGAAAAAGTCAGTTTTCCAATGGGTAATTGGAGTTACCATTTTTATCTGACTTCGATTCTGGTTTCTTAAGCATTCCCTTCTACATTAATGTGATTTCCTCTAAAGTCTCCTAAGGATAGTATAATTTTATAAGTGAATGACTCCCTTAGAATCCCCTGAAGACCAATTTTTCCTACCCCAGCTCCTTCTTTTTAAAGATAAGCAAATCTCAAAGACATAAATATGAGTTTCCGAAGGTCACAAAGCTAGTTAGTAGCTGATTGTTAGTAAACATAGGTTAAATATTTTTAAATTGCAGTTCTTGTAAATCAGAGACGATATGCAAAAGTAGATATATAAACTCTGTTTGATTCACAGAAGTTATTTCATAAAGTGTATATGTAGAGCAAAGAGCACCCTAACTCAAATACGAATGCTTTCTCATCATTTTGTTAGAATAGCATCCAAAACTGTGAGGAAGTCTTTCCAAATGTAATCTTAGAAAGCATTTGTTGGACTCTGGCTGTTGGCGTGGTCCTATAGTCTTGAGTAGTAGAAGCGAAGCACCTTTATTTAGCAGTAATTACAAAGAATTACTTAAGATTTGATGCAGATAAATCATTCATGAAACTAGAACAAGATTGTGAACTATATTAGTAAATTCCTTCATTCAGCAAATTATGCCAGAGAGATCCTTTGTCCCTGACTTCACTTTTCTCTGCCTTGAGATAAAATGAGGATAACAGTGGCTATTTCTTAGGGTTGCTATAAAGATGAAATGAACTGATGCTTGTAAAGTATGTAAAAGGCCTGACATATTATTAGTTTCCATTGGCATTTCTACTTTCAAGGAGCTTGTAATACAGTTAGGGAAATAACATATGCACATAAAACATCTAAATAAAGATTCTCAGTAAATGCCCAAGTAAGCAATTGTGTAATGTATATGAGATCTTTGTGGTTTGTGAGTTTTTGTATTTGGACAGAGCGAGGTGGTCATGGGCTGGAATATGTATATTCTTGAATGATGAAGAAGGCTTCATGGAAGATATGAACATTTGATTAGTAAAGGACAGATAAGAGCTCTAGGCATCGAGGAGAACTTTAAGTGTATATAGTCAAAGAAGAGTGAAGAAATTAAGATTACGCTGACTAAGCGTTGAATGTTCACATTAGGAAATTGAGAGAGTTAAAGGTTGGGAAACTAGGTTGCTAGTGTTTGGGTGAATTTGGAGAATTGGAAATTTAAGGCAAGAGAATAAAGAGAAGGTTCCAGGAGTTTTCAGGAATGAGAAAGATAAGTAGAAGGACTTATACCAGGTTCAGAATCTTCAACAAAGCAATGCTGCGTGATGAGCTGGTTTACAGTGGTGCTATGTGTGGTTGCCAATATGGCCAGAAGTTTCAAGTCAACAGGCAACAATATGGATACTAATGTTGCCAAGATCATAATGAAAATGATGGCATTATAAAGTGCTTTCTCTGTGCCAGTGACTATTTCAGTGCTTTGCAGGTCTTAACTTATCTAATTGTTATAATGTTGATATTATTATTATTACTGCCACTTTACAAATGAAGAAACTAAGGTCTGTAGATGTTAAGCTGTCTTAATACACTTAGGAAATGGTAAAGTCAGGATTCAAATCCAGGTGTTATGAATCCAGAATCCCTGCCCTCCACCACTACGCTTCCTTTCTCATAATAGGAAATGCAGTCAAACAAAAAACAATAGAGGGTTCGAAGAAAAGATGTGAGCCAAGTGATGAAACATCTAGGAAGGTAAAAGTGAATCCTAAAGAGCAGGGGTAATGAGAAGTGTGTGGTATAAAACGATGGATCATATTAACTTCACATTTAAGGCAGCAAATAAGAAGCCATAAGCAAGAGCCAACAGTTTCTTCACCTCCTTCCCATGTTAGGGGTGGGAGGTGATAGAGCCTATAA